TGGGATGTATATCGTAAATCTGGGGCTTTCCAATAATCTCGTCTACCTATCACCTGGTGATATCTCGTTATTAATGCATCAATTGATGTAAACAGTTAACGTTTCTACACAACTAACTATTTACTTGGATATTATTGTGTTGGATAATATTAGTTATTAAATTTGACATGCGTTGCAGAGTTGACCAGTTTCAAGACGCGACGAGTAGCCGCCTTCAAGAAACACCTCGTTGAGCTATCCGAGCTGGAAATCAAGCAGGCCAAAGTAAGTTTCAATTGCCTCACTTCGCTTCGTTTATTTTGAGATATTCATAAGCGCCTTTGCACTCTTTCCGCGAATGCTTTATTCATTCTTCTTTGCCCATTTTCTGTAATTTAGTTTTTTTTTAAAGCATGTAATGAGCTTTGCATTCGTGCCAGAGTTGTTAGCGCCTAGCGGTAGTTGCTAAAGATGGTAAGAATGGCCTCATGTTGTGACAAAATTATATATTATCGTCATTGTGATAACACTTTGATCGCATACAGTGCCACATTACGATGAAAATGTTTGCAGTTTAGTCATCCACATTATTTGACTGTACACAACACCCATTTCAATTTTACCCATGCTTCCGTTTTTTTTTCAAATGCTGTTTCGTCTGACTTTGTGTGTGTCGTGAATTGACTCATGTTTACCGGTGCCCTCAGTCCCAGGTGGAGCTCTTGCGAACATCACTATCGTCTCTGAAGGCGCTATCTTAGCCGTCTGGAATGATGTGCGGGCCGCCTGGACGTCAGTGCTGCTGACGTTGATGACGTGGAACGTTAGTGTCACCGTGTCAGTAATGTGCAGTTGCGTCACTGACGTGGGCTGTCAGCAACAGGGTCGCCGCGAAACTCCTAACAAAGCGGTGCTGACAAACCACTCCCCTATCGGCCACCTATGTGTGCAGATGCGCCGTCTCCTGAGTGAAGGTGGAGTAGAGTGTACGCGGGTGGCGCGACCGGCGACAAGGCCACTGTGCAGTCTCATACATCTGTGCAGCCTCATACTATGGGTCAGTCGACACGGCGTGCGATGCTCGCCTGCCGGCTGAATTCACGAGAGTGAAGTGGAAATGAGTGGAAAGCGGCGTTGAAAGGCTTAGTTGGCGCCCTCGGGAGAGCTTACACATGGAAAAGACGTGGCAAACTCTGCCGCTCCTGGCATCGCGTTTGCAACCATTGATATCGTGTGAGGCGTGGCCTAGTGTCAGAACTGGTGTCTTAGACATTCCATCTACTTTTTACCTTGGGCTGTGGCCGTCGAGTGACCACTCTGCCCGGCGCTGGCTGCTGGGACACTTGTCGTCGTTGTTGTATACCTCTGTTACCCTGCACTCTACACAGCGACTTGCGGCGAATGTTACGAAGAGCATGACGTTGTTCGTTAAAACTCACGATTAGAGATGCCTTAGTTCGTGATGACTTATGTTGTTTGTATGCTGGTTGCAACGCCCGCCAAAACGACGGGTTTGGGGATTCGTAAAATGCTGGGCTGTTTGCCAAGTACCACTGGTCATGGTTTATTAACATTAATTGTCCCGGCAAAGTTATAACTGTTATTTGTGCTGGTTGAGCTCTGTTGGAAGAATCGACCGCTTTATATATATAATATTTTACTTTTGCGGGATGCATGATGGATCCCGACTTTGTAGTATTACTGTGCTATTTACTTATACATATTAGTGTATGCTTATATAGCCATGCAAGGTTTACCTTACCACTAAATCGATAAAGTGCTCCTCGATGTGATGCTTCTTTTGCCGTATATTGGGGTGTTTGACGTATATTCTGTAGTTTTTGTTGCATTCTGAGCTGGCCCACAGCCCCTCCCTTTGTGCTGGCGTAACTTGAGAACAAGTTATTGAAGACAGGTTATGGAGGACAAGTTGTTGAGGTCGTTATTGTGCGCAGTCTCCTCTGCTGGACGTCATGATATTGCATGACTTCTGAACCGACAAACAGATGTAGTGTACCGTATTGGACAAGTGACTTTCTCGGTAGCCGACCTTATAAAGCTCACGCCGATAAGTCGGCGCTGCACTATCGTTATTCAGTGTCGTTATACTGTGACGCATGATTTGAACGCTTTGAACATAGCAATGTTAATGGAAATATATGAAAGGCAATGAAACATGTATTGTGACGTACGGGGAAGGCCAGAACTTTTGTGTTACGTGTCATTTTGCAAATAACCCCCACGCGTATGTCCCGTCAGTGTAAAATGTTACAATTCGCCGTGTTCCTGTTTATTACGAGCTGGGCTATCAGCTTACGTCTTATTTACAATGAGCGTAAAAGGCGCTCACGTATACATATGCTACAATGTTAGTCACTAAGGACACGCACGGGAGAAATCCGCCTACAACACTGACCTTTTCAGGTTGTTCATGATCTTTTTGGCAATGCCAGCAGGCTCGACAAGCGGCAGCTATATGCTAGATGCGAAATCCAGGTCTGAAATTGAGCTCATGCACATTTGGTTGACAGATGACGATTTTGCTCGTGATATGCATGACCGCTGCGTGCTCACCAGTTTATCTGACAGTTTTCAGGGGCAGATATGCTTCTTGACTCGGGAACAGGTGCGACGGAACGCCTTCCTGAAGTCTCTGCTGAAGATGACGCACACGAGGGGAGTGCAGATGGCCGTGATACCCCCGCTGCTGATGACTAGCGAGAACAGCACGTAGCGCGCCCCGGGCAGTATAACACACTGCGCCTTCAGACTCTTCTCGTAATGGACTGCGGCGATGTAAGGAGTAAAAGAGATGAAGAAAGTCGCCAGGAAGGCGACCAGGGCCATCGTGGCCACGATATCCACCCTGCCGATCGGGGGAACGCTGGTCAGTGTGATTCTGGGCACGATTCGGGGCCTCTGAGCGATGTTGGTGGACCTCTCTGGACTCTGCGCTGTTGTTGAGGGCGTCGGGTCCTCAGACGATCTGCTGCTGGCGACCTTAGAACTCCACGCCATCTTAGGGGTCGAGGAACTGGCACCACAGGCCGTCCGCGCCGCTTCCTCGACGGCGGTGACGAGGGGCAGTTGCTGCTGGGAGGTCAGGGGGCGGTCGGGCCGTGAGGTCCCAGACTGTGTTGTCTGGGTGTTCGTAGCTGCTGGCGATGATCCATCAGTGGCCGAGTGCTCTTCGCCAGCCGTGCAGCGGATCGAGCCTTCCAAGGGTGTAATCGGTGCGACCGAGGATTTTATGTTACCTCTGGCTTTGTCAGACAAGACATTGGTTGATTTGTTTTCTTCATTAGATGCTTGTTTAGGAGACTGATATGTCCATGCCGGTACTGTGAGCCTATCCTGGGCAGTCGTGCCCAGTTTGACAGGATGGAGATGCCGTTGTGCCGATGATGACAGGCGGCCCCGATGACTCGCCGGCCGGCCCAACGCCTGCTTACTGGAAGATACGCCTGAGTTTTCAGCATGCTGGTTGACACGTATATGTGATTTGAAAGATCGATATGCGATGTTAACGTAAGAAAAGCCGATTATGCTAAGCCCGACTACATACTCAAGAACCAGACTGATAAGGGTCTCTAGTTCTCTCTCCCTCTTAGCGACCCGATTGATGGGCCAGTTGTCAGGCGTCCAAGCGAACAGCGTTCCACACTGCCCATGGTCCTCTCGCCGCTTCGCCATCAGCCTTATCGCGCAGGGTAGCAGTGCGATGGTGGTGAACAGCAGGATGCTCTTGCGCACCGGTGGGTAGCTGTGATTTCTTATCACGGTGAGGTAGCGCAGCAACGTAATCGTCACAATGATGCCGAAGCTGATCGACCTTGTACATTTTACGACGTAGAAGCGTATGGCACAGTTGAGCGGTGATATAATGTGATCATTCCAGCCCTCGGCCATAGGGAAAAGCGTCTAAAGGATGTTATTCAAGCAGAGAAGGGACGCAAGGAAGTTGATCACCGTATGCAGTTGGCGTTCCATAACGATAACTAATACGACCGTGAGGTTTAGTGTAATGGCCATTATGACACTAAAGACAACCACCGAGATGAAGACGGGATACATGGCCTTCGGGTCATCCTTGTCCTCTGCCGACCTCAGCTGGCAGACGTCCCTCGTGCTGTTGTCCGGCTGGGTAGTGACGTAGCAGAGGAGCAGCTCCTGAACGCGCCGGATGCACTCGGGGGAGAGTTTGTCCCAGAGCGCCGCTCCGGACATTGTGTCACCTCGGCGACCGACGCGCGACTGACCCGCCACGGGAGCCGACCGCCGTCTCCTTCGCTGGGATTGATCCGTTCGTAACAGCTACGCTCAACCTTCTACCCATTCACTTTGACATTAGCCATCGCCGAAGGTTTTCTTCCTACGCCCCGGACGAGGGGGGTTATCCAAGCGCCCCTTGCCGTCTCGCTCCTAATTGAACTAAAGCTTCATGGGTGTTCGCCGTCGCGGGCACGCAGTTACTGGTGCCAGTTTTAATATTTCCAAAATGGTCTCATTCTATCCATCCATCAGCGATTCAGGCGTTAGGTATGTGACAAATCGACCCGCCGCCGCGGCTGGCCATCGCCGTGACCCAGGTCAAGGGACGGCGTGCACTCTATTCTACACCTCAAAGTTACCGTCTGATAATAATCAGACATGATTGAGTTTTATTCACGATCGATGGCAACGCAAATAGGAATTTGACTTGTGTTGCCATCGATCGTGAATAAAACTTTACCGTCTGATCGCTTTCGAAACTGTCTCATTCGATTCCTCGAAGGTAAACGATTCGAGCTCGAGCGAGACGGACTTGAAGTCGGAAAAGGGTGTTTTAGAATGGAATCTTGAGGCGAGCCACAATCACGGCACTTAGAGATAAGAGAAAAGTCATTGAATCACCTAAAAAACGTTGTCTGTACGTTTCAGGTCATCATTACCTACCTAATGAATGCATAGGTATATTTGTAAATTTTATCGAAAGCTTTAGGTCATCCCATGGTAAAGCAAAAGCCCTAAAAACAGGCAAACCAGTGTTTGCAGTTTGTGTAATTCGAGCCTTTGCTGGACTTCAATGTCCACGATTTCGTAAAGTATTTCCCTTGCGTGAATCTGGTAGGGCTAGCTACCAAATGCGTTGAAAGTGGCGAAGTAGTTTCAAACATGTTAACACGCGAGAAATTCGATACTTGATGCTTGCTACAATTGAAGGAAACTATTGAAATTGCAAGGGAAAGGGGTAAGTATCTTGATTGGTGTTTTACTGTTTTCTAGCGCCTCACCAATTAAAGAAGCCAAAAATGTTAAGTTGCTGCCTGCAGTTCAAGTTTTTCTTTAGCACTCATCTTCATCTTTGCATTGGTAATTCCAGTTCAAAGATAGGCATTGGCGTCATTGTGATGGCCATGGGTGCTGTTTTCACAGTATTTCTCATTACTTACAATTTAAAAAAAAAAGAATTATCGTCTGAATGGCTATGTACTTTGTTCATATGGGTGCAAGGTCCTGTTGAACCTAGGGGGATCTGTTACATAGCACCTCAGACCAGGCTGATAACCAGGGCATATTTTAAGGCACTTACTGCGTCCCATTTTGGGACGCAGCCCCCTCGCCTTGGGACGTAGCCCCTGCTGATTTGACCCACTGCGTCCCTGCCCTGTCCGGTTCCCTGACCTGTGCCCTGCTGTCTGCCCTGACCTGTACCCGGCTTTCCCTCTAAAATATCCTGTGCCATGCCCTGCAACCTGCCGTGCCCTACTTTCTGCCCTCCTCAGACCTCAGTGCCCTACTCTGTTCCTTGCCCTGTGCCCTTAGTCGTAGCACGTGCCCTTTGCTCAACTTTGGGACGCAGTAAAAATTTGTTAAAATATGCCCTGCTGATAACCTACATCCGGCATCCGCATAACCACTCTTGATCACCAATTTATTTTGATCAATAAGATGTTGAATTTTAAACTGAAAGCATTCTTTAAATTAGCTACCTAGGTATTATTTCATTTTGGTAATTGGTTGTTACCTTGTATCAGAAGTAGGAGGCAGTAATGGGTGCTTGTAGATGTTAGAGCCTAGTCTAGTCACTTGCTAGGCTCTGTCATAATCAGGCTTTATTTTTTTTTTATCAAACTGTTAAGTTTTTAATTGACTTGGCATGCTGCATTGACATAACACAACTGTGACATTTGTGGCTTGGTGACTAGATGCCAGTGTCTTTGCCAGATATTGCCAGGTTTAGCATACCACAACTAAATGATGGCAGTGTCCAGTGCTAATGTATGTCAAGGGGGGGTGCATGCTCCGGGCCTCAGCCCCCCAAATCCACTGCAGTAGTGCTGCCAGCCAGGCACATTATCAACTAGGCCTCAAAGAGGGCATTACCTATTGTGAACACTATGAATGAATGAATGAAAAATTGAAAGCGATACTTTAAATTTAGTTAAGGATCAATCCCCTGTTCCCTTAGTTCAACAGCTCATTTTTTTTCAACAAGTATGCAGCAAATGTTCAATTGTACGCACTTATAGCTGGTGCTGAGTCAGGCTGACATCAGCTATGTTATTGTTCCCAGGTTGGGTGTCACCAGTATTTAACCACAATGGACATATCTGAGATAATCAGTGATGTTCCTCTGTGGAACCTCGTGCAGCTGGCTCCTCCGCCAGAGATATTCCTGAACTACTCTGCTGAAGAGCTGTCTGCCATCCGCCCGCTATGTGCCGGCGTGTCTGTGGAGCTCGGCGAGCGGCTGGGCACGGACCTACAGGCGCTCACTAACGAGCTCCACCTGCTGCGCTCGGTGTCCTACCGCGTCGGCAACCAGTTCTCTAACTGCCGCGCCTTCCGCGTGGTCGGCGCCGTGTCGGGCTGCGGCCGGCGTCTGCGCCAGCTGGCCGACCCCGGCTGGCTGTCGGGCCGCGTGGCGGCGCTGGCGCGGCCCGCCGGCGGCTCCCTGCCCTCCCGCCAGATGGCACAACACCTGCTGGTGACCTGTCAGCGCGCGGGCCGCCTGCTGAGCCGGCTGGCCGAGCTGGCCGAGCGCGCCGCGCGCCTCTGGCTGCAGTGGCTGCGGCTCGGCCACCAGGCGCAGCTGGCTGTGGCCTTTCTCGGCCTGCTGGGACGCGTCTGGACGCTCAGCGGCGCCGTCCGCGGCCGGCTCTGTCAGCTGTTCGCCGCTGTCCGGCCGCTAGAGGGACACCTGCTCGCCACGCCGGTCTCCTGGCCACACGATCCCCTACCGGTCTGTCTCTGGGGCTGGCTCGGTCTGCCGGTTGGGGGTGGTGGCGCGGTGGTCGTGCCGGCCGGCCGGGGGTCGTCACGCGCTGCTCGGCGTCACGATCCCAGTACACCGTTCGAGGATCAGAGCCGGGAGATAGTCGTGTCGCTACTGCCGGTCGAAACCGGCGGTTGTCTGCAGAGGACCTTCGCTGAGCCTGATCCGAGTGAGGAAACTAATACCTGCAGCAGCGAGGCAGTAGTCAGCAGCCCCCGCCCGACCAACGACACTACGCCGATCGGGACTTTCGGAGAACGGGCAGCGAGCGGCGAGCCGGCGCATCACGAGGACCTGGGCGAGCTGGTGGACTGCAGCGACATCTACAACTCCCCGACGCTGGGGGACGGAGACGGAGAAGCGGCGCTGCCTGGCGAGGAGACACCGCCATCTGGTGATGGAACGGTAACAGAACCAGCTACCATTTCTGACGGTGACAGGAAGCTGTACAGGAGGCTGGTCAAGGTGACGCGACGCTGGGGCTCGCCAGAAGAGGTGGCCGAGTTTGTTAGCGAGGAGACGGCGGCGCGGAAAGTGAAAAGGAAGAAGTGTGTCACGGCGAGACTAACCCAGACGCAGTGGAAGGCGGTGAAACGGGGCCTGCAGGATCGCTGCGCGAACTGGAGTCAGAGTCAGACTGAGGGTGATCTTGTCGGGGAGGAGAAATGGGCGAAACGGGCGAAACTGTTTTTGAAAACGTGGTCCATGTTTCCCGACTGCGAGGGGAAGAAACCAGCGGACTGGGCGGAGTTTTTGGAAGGGGTGAAAGAAAAACGGATGCCTTGCTGAAGTTTATGCGCTTTTGATGAGCTGAAGAGCGTTACTGTTGTGATCTGATGTGCCTGTTAGTGTGCTGTTTGGGTCGGTCGTTCTGTGAGCTTTTCGGAGGATGCATCAGGGATGTCTTGCCTGGTTATGAGCTACAGCTCGTAGAATTTATGATCAAGCATCTCGCTGCCCGAATTCGTTTTTATACATGTGAACGGCAACTCACAGCTGTCAATGCAAGTTGATTAATGAATAAACAATGCGCATTATTTGTCAAGGGCTGTAGAAGCGATGGGAAATATCTCTGTACTTATGCATGCGCATCGTATGCGATGTCACTGAACTGTGACAACTTTAAGTAAGCACATGAAAGACAAACGTTTTATTAAATGCCTTGCAGCAGTTAGACTGCACGGACGTCACGACTGATGGGAAGCCATTCAATTGCATGTAAGCACAAAGCGCTATCAGCTTAGAAGCACTGCGGTAAATGCAGCTTTTCACCTGCAGCTGTCATGTTAAACGTCGATAATTTAGATTTGCTTCCAATACCGACACCGTTTGTCCTGAGCCGCCAGTAATGGCAGCTTTATATGAGACGGGCGTGTGTATGTTGATGAGGTGATCGGTACTCGGCAGTAGCCCGGTAATAACTGTTCCGTCGATGTTTTCCTCAGTGAAATCCGTACCCGTGCTTTATCCTCCCCGTTCCTCACCCTGCACGGGTCAATCTTTAGGAATCTTGCGCAGGACACCCTCACACACACTGTGGAGGCCATTGAACCTGGAACGGGACCTCGCCACTGACGTGACCGCGGACTAGCCGCCATGGCTGCACCGGCCGGCTGGCCAAGGTCGAGCCCGTGTCCGCTGCGAAGGCCGCGCTCGCCCGGCAGAGGCGCGCGGCAGTCCCGGCCGCCCGGCCCGGCGCGGCGCGGCCACAACATGGCAGACCAGTGAGCGCCGAGCCATGGATGAAGCATTCCTGGATAGGACACTCCCTATTCCCCAACACTAGCGCCGGCGACCAAGCGGCCGCCCTGGTGGCGGAGCTCCGAAACATCGGCGGCGAGTGCGCCGGCGGCCGCCGCACCGGCTTACGTGCTAAAAACGCGGTAATGGAGGGCGAAATTAGCGAACTTTAGCTCATAAGACACAATTTCAGACACTTTAAACATAATTTCTAGTCCTTTCTAATCATTATTATGGCTCCATTTAGTCACTATCACATACGGAATCATTACCTGATGCCCATAAACTGAGCCGGTATTCTTGACTTGCCGATGCAATTTATCATCAAATATCATCGTTCCTCGGCAGTCGAACAAGTCCCTATTGATGATTTAATACAAATATTAACTTATTTTCATGTTATCGCATAAAACTTAACTTTATTCCAACGTTAGCTCTTCGGCTGTAATCACGAACGCTCACTTGTCAGCAGAATTTAAGCAACTTCTTAAATAAAAACTGGGAAAAGAATATTTCCATGACATTCCTCAATTCCTGTTCTACCTGGTTCACAAAAATTTTCATCAAAATCGGTTATAGGTAAGTAATAAACGACAAAAGTATACAAAAAGACACGCTCCGCCCATAGCCCGCAATGCTAAAATGACGCCAGCGCCCTCGCCGTCGGGAAATCCGCCGCCGCCGCCGGGTGGTCGGAAAATCGGCGGAGTGTCCGATCCAGGAATACCTAATCCATGGCCGAGCGTCGGCCGCGGGTGGAGAGCCGGGACGTGAGCGGTGAACTGACAACATGAAGGCTCTCTGCGTCGCCGTGCTACTCTGCGGTGAGTGATTGTTTACCTTTCCGGGTATCTATTGGATGGCCCCATTCGCCACTAGTGTGCAAGGAACAACTTTTTTTTTTGTTTAGTCGTTAAAAGGCCATTTAACTGTTTCCATGTGCGAGATTCGTAGTAACTATTGATATTCATCCGGGGCATAAGTAACCCCCTATATCAGCCGACCGGGCTAATGTAGCCCTTCTGTGTCAACCCAGTTCACCCCATGATCATTGTTTATATCCGAGCACTCGCCTGTCAACAAGCCATGGCCGCAGCAGAACGTGAGCTGCCACGTCACATCTCGGATGTACGGAAAATCTATTTCCAGCAACTGCGCGATAGCTCGGCCGATTGTACACATGGAACATGATCGTGCCTTGTCTGCTGTCGGTTATTGGATAAGTCCGGTCTTGCTCATATGTGACACCGCATGTGAGCATGCCTGCCTGTATTTGTAGATCGTATTGCTGTGGCATCTAAACATCGTTACATCACGCTGCTCTGTATTGTCTGCGGAGGTAGTTCGTCCGGACAGAAAAGGAGTCATATTCCCGGCTCCCGTGCCACAAACGAGGCTTAAATTTGACGCTGTCCGTGCCCGCAGGCTCGCTGCTGGCGGCGGTGTCCTGTCTGGATGGTAACGGTCACCCTGACCTGGCCGAGAGACCGACATGCGGCGCGCAGAGCGGACCTCATCCCAAAACACGGGTCATCACCACAGAACGGTGAGTCAGGTCACACGCGGCCGTCATAGCGCTGCAGCGGTCATCTCAAAGCCGAGGTCAAGACCGTGAAAAGGTCACGCGGCCTCGGGTCATTGCCTCACAGGGACTGACGAGTTGCAACCGATGCGGACTGTGATATGTGCTTACCTGCCATACCTACCTATTCAGATTTGTATCATCATCCTATATTTCGTGGAACGACTCCTATTCAAACCCGACTACGGTATTGCGGCGTCGCGTGTGTTACATTTTATTTGTGACGCCGGTACCATATCATCTCCATTTTATCGCGATCTATAATGTTCTGTATGTAGATAAGGTGAGCTTACACGGGTAGATGAACCGTACTCTTTTAGGTGATCTGTAACCGTGCCTCTTCCTCCCTTTTCACGCCTGCAGGCTGGCCGGCCTCAGGTCACTGCTGGCTGACCGGGTGTGCCAGCCGTACTGACACTAATCTCTCCCTCTTTACGCCTGCAGGCTGGCCGGCCTCAGGTCACTGCTGGCTGACCCGTTGGGTAACGCGTACCAGCCTCTGGACGCCTACATTGTCCCCATGGACGACGAACACCAGGTACGGTAGACGAAATCGGACAGGGAATCGTTCCTTAAAGGTAGTGTGCCACCTTTGAAAGATTTCCCATTTTATTTTTCCTAGGATAAGAAGCTTCTGTTTTTACCTAATATCGCAAAAAAAATCAAAAATGGGCCTGGAATAGTGCCTTTTTCGCCTAAAAGTTTATCGGTTTTTCGATGTGTAAAACAACTGTAGTGGGCTGAGCTGCAAACAGGCGTCGGCAACAATCGCGAATGCGGCGCACATGTGACAATAAGCAAAGGTCATTATAGAGTTACGACGTACGGGAATGAGTTATCAGCTGTCTAATCGTAGACAACACAATGTCGAGCCTTAAACTGTAAGCCTGTATTGGTATTGTTTCTTTTATTTGGCTGTCGAACATTATTTATGGTTTGAAATATGATTTTATGTAAAATAATTGATATGAAAAAGCCGTCTCTTAAGTTATGACCATATTTCACCACACGCAAGTGGCAGAAATGACAATGATCAGCTGACGCATTTTTCTTGGCCGAAGTCAGAGCGTGCGGCCCGACGCACCACCACCGCACCACAAAGTATGAGCAGAAGCCGCGCCCAAAGCCAGGGCCCCGGTAACGTGAGGTAGCCGAGTCGGGGCAGCGTGCGCTGACCCAAGCCGGGGCCGCAGCTTTGGGCGCGGTCTACCGCATCCCCGCGGGCAGCCCCGGGCTATCACATGACACCGGGAGGACGCGCGGCCCCGGCTTGGGTCAGTGCACGCTGCCCCGACTCGGCTACCTCACGTTACCGGGACCCTGGCTTTGGGCGCGATCTACCGCACCACCTAACAGGCGTGTTCGAAACCGCAGGAGATGATGATGAACGGGTTTATCGAAACTTGATTGGATGAGCATATCGGTAATAGCGATTTCAGTGTGTGCATTTATTGTTCATAGTGGTGTGAAATGTGGTTGGGGTACGACCGACAACCCGTCGGGGCGAATTTCGCACTGGGGTACTCAAAATTTGAAGAATTTAAGACGTTTCCATGAGTTTTGAAGGTATGGATAAGTTCTAAAAATCCGGTTCACCTTATCTGGGCCATTAACTCCATACGGTCCAGGAAAGCTGGCACACTACCTTTAACCCGCGCCCTGCTGGGGGGGGGGGGGTGTTTGAACACCCCCCCCCCCTTGTGGTTTTTTGCGGACTCCGCGCCGCCGTTTTTGGTACACCTTATCATACATCAATTCTACACATGTTGTGAAAATTTCAGACCAAGGTCATTCAAGGTCAGGTCACCAGGTCACTTGAAGTGACCTCACCTCATATAAAGCTTCAATGTCTGCCATAGCTACACCGAGTGACCGATCGCTTTGAAACTTTCAGCGATTGATAAGGGTAACAGTATCTATCAAATGTATATCTCGGAATTTTGATATCGGTGACCTAAGGTCAGGTCAATTTTGCGACCTCCCCATTAGGTATAAGTCAATGGGAGAAAATTGAAATGCGCCTCTTTTGGACGAAAGACATTATAAACACTCCCAAACACTGAATTACAAGTGTTTTAGACACACCGAACATGAAAATGGTGTCCGTGACCCCTATTTAGGCCCCTGAGGTCATCTCAGGTCAAGAATGGTGCCTAACAGTTTTTCGCAAATAACTTTTGATAGAGGCATGCTAGAGCGGTGAAAACGCCTTAGATGTGCTCAGCTCGACGATACGGATCGACTGATATGCAACATGACCCTTTCCGGTCAGGTCATGACCTTGACCTGAGGTCAAATTTTCAAGTTGACCTTTCAAGGTCAAGTTTCGATGCATCTTGACGAGAGGAACACGATGCCGGTAAAAGTAAGCTCGTACAAGGCTTGGGTCAAAAGTTATTGCATAAAAACTGTTTCCGAAAAAATCGGCTATTTTTGCAGTTTTTGCCCCCTGCAGGCAAACTCGTTGACGTTAGGTCAAATCTGAGAGAATTGCTCAGAAAGGGCGTTCATAGGGCTATCGAATGCGCTTTTCCGCGGCGCTGTAGCTTTATTGGTTCCCGAGTTATGCGTTGGCTTCCTGGAAATTGTCGACATTCGACCTGAAAATCGGCGAAATTTTGCCTTCAATGACCTCTGGTGACCTGACCTTTGACCTGACCAAAAAAGTGACCGAAGTGATTTCGTCATAATTTTTGGCGCTCTTTCGAACGCCGCCTTCCGCGTATCGCTACGTGGCCCAGGCGCCGAGTTAGAAGGGGGGGGGGAGTGTTCAAACACCCCCCCCCCCTCCCCCCCCAGCGGGGCGTGGAAATCCAGGACCCCCAGCCGGGCGCGGGTTAATAAACAGTTGCTTAATAATAAGCATGCGACTACTGCTTTTATCGTTCTGTGCTACGTACTGCAAGAAAATTTTCGGTATTGTTATAATTGGAACATAATATTAAAATATTGACAGCAAGGCTGTGTGCGTTCCATTCCGCCACATTGAATTGAATATGAATTGTGTGAAAACGTTTATAGGGTTTTGTCGGCTCCGCCAGCTCTATAGCGGCGGCTTCATGGGACCGGGAGGGGAGAAGCCGCGTGACGATGACAAGATACGCATAAATACTGATGATAATACTATTACCGACTCTCACTTCAGCTGATTCCGTACAGTATGTCTTACATTGAGGTGTGATTCCGCAAAATAGTTACAGAAGCGTGGAACCATAAAGAAGATCACTTATGGAGACGTGATACCGCAAAGTAACTAGATCAATTATGGATACGTGGTACCGCATTTATCAATTCTGAGGTTTGGCACGCGCCAGTTGGATAGATGTTCCGTCTCGGACTCTGAATCGTGATTAGGAGAGCTCGGTCCAGGCAAGAGGACCGGCCGTAACCCATTTCTGTTCGTGAACCATTCACTACCCGCAACTGGAGGAACCAAAAGGTCGCAGCGTCTCGGTCCCGGACACATACTGAATTACCATCAGCTCTCACTCATGGCTCGCAGAGTCGCTGTTTATATTTTCACCGGCAGCAGCCAGCTACTGCAGCGGTGACCGATGAACTGAAGTGTGAAGGGCGGCGAAAGCCACTCACAGTGGATGACGGATGGAACTGCGCACTACTCTCCACTGATGGGAGCGTTTTCCAACTGCCAACACCGTGGAGTTTCCCCGACTGCAATGACTGGATAGTTTTTGCACGCCAGCCGCTGTCTGTCGTACTGAATAGACAACACTTGTGCAAATAGCCATGCCGCAGCACTTGACACTTGTCCATGAAACCAAACGTCCTCATTTGAAGCCATTCTATCACCAGTGTTTCTGTACCGACTCCCCAGCAATCTCACCATCTATCCGTGCCCATAGACGGAGTACATCGCGCCGCAGGACCGGTTCATCAAGTTCATATCGGGCTTCAGCGGCTCGGCGGCGCTGGTGGCGGTGACGGCCGTGCGCGCCGCCCTCTGGACCGACGGACGCTACTTTCTGCAGGCTGAGGACCAGCTGGACTGTAACTGGTACCTCATGAAGGAGGACACTGGCGTGAGTACTGAGTACGGAGTAGGCGGCGAGTCGGCTGAGTAGTACAGAACAGTCGACAACGAGACAGTGGTGCACGGAAGTGAGTGAGGACTGTCTTTTGGTGTCTTGTAATCATCTGTGCCCGTCCTCGAAATTGCAATGTTCTGCATCTGTCTTAGAACGTCCGTTTATGTGGACGTAAGACAACCTTGCATACTATTCGTTAGGCCAAATAATCAAACTTTTAAAATAACGACCTTTAAATCACGTATCTTGTTCTTTCGGTCGAATAATTAAGTTTTAAGAGTCCGACCTTCATTAAAGTCCGTAGTCTTTAAAAAGCGTTATAAGGTACAGATCAAACAATGTGTTGCTCCAAAGTCAATGGAGAGCTTCGTCCTTGACTATCCAACCCGGCGTTAGGTCGCGGTGCGTGCCTTCCGTGCTAGTGCGTGCTCCCCGTCTCGCTCGGAGTCAGACACTTTTTTCGGTGTATCATTATTCACCTGCGCAGCGTTCGTCTCCGCCTCGAGGCCGGGACACGGCCGTAGCGGACTGACGCAGTTCCATATGACTCACGCAATGACCTCGGCTGCGTGGAACTTCCTCTGCAGTCGAATCACATACAGTCAAAATCGGTTGTTATTCAAAGGCAGCAGCGGTCACGGAAGCGGAAGCCTTGTATGGAAAGTGAATGACGAGGCGACATGTGACTGGTGGCCGTGCACACTTCATTGGTAGCATTTGTGCCGCGCAGCTCTGACGGTGCTCTCTCTCTCTCTCTCTCTCTCTCTCTCTCTCTCTCTCTCTCTCTCTCTCTCTCTCTCTCTCTCTCTCTCTCTCTCTCTCTCTCTCGTCCGCAGGCCCCGGAGCTGGCCGAGTGGCTGACCGGACAGCTAAAACCCGGCGCCAGGGTCGGCTCTGATCCCAAACGGATGGCCGCCCTCCGCTGGATCAAACTCAGCGAAAAACTCAAAGGTAGGTGACATCAATCATAGACCTCTGTATACCTTCAATGGCCTGGCATACACTCTGTTTACAGAGTACACAGAGGTCTATGCAGCAACGAATGTTGGGGCATTAGTTTCCCGAAAGGTCGAACGATTCTTTTCGTTCACATTGTTTTCATTATTTTTCATGTTATGTGTCATCGAAAGATTTGATTGTCATTTTTCTTTTTTACGTTTTGTGTCGCCGTAACACCATATTCTGTCCGGTTGCAGCCGAGTCCATAGATCTGGTGTCCGTTGAGATCAATCTGATTGAGCACCTGTGGACCGAGGGCCGGCCGGTGGCCAGGGATGAGCCCATCACCGTCTACCCGCTCGAGTTCGCCGGTAAGACTGCATCTCACACCGATTTGTTATTGTTCGATCATAATGACTTTAGAATCGCCGATATCTTACTAACCTCGCATTCGGACCTTTCCCTGCCTATTTTGTGTGGACTTCAGTCGGCGATTCTCTAGGCAGCTAGCTGAGCCTTAAAATCAGACTTTTTTTGTTCTCTGCAATATAAGTTCGTAAGTATGTGTATTCTGTAGCACATGTTAATGAGCTGCGTAATACGGCATGTTTACTCGGCATATTTCAATGTCAAGGAATCAGCCTGATGTGCTGGTGTATGTTACACCCGTGCCGGTATCTCTTCAGGCCGACGCTGGCAGGACAAGGTGGCGGACGTCAGGGCGGCCATGAAGGCGGCCTCCAGCACCAACCAGCAGGTGACGTCGCTGCTGGTCACCCAGCTGGACGAGGTCGCCTGGCTCTTCAACCTGCGCGGGGACGACCTGCCCAACGTGCCAGGTGACGGTGGACACCGACTGGAGGGGGGGGGGGAGGATGCTGGAAAGGAGGGACGGGACGGGGAATAGTCATGTATGGAATGGGAACTTATCCAATTAATTGCTCTAACCAAATCATTGTCATCGTGGGGTTATCTATCAACAGCTCAATGCTGTTGATAGATGGTCCAGCAGAATGCTGTTTTCCGCTGAACAGCTGCAAATTTAGTGAGCATCTTGGAACAGTAACGTTAGTGTGTCCAAATAGGCCGCTGACTACTCAACGTGCTATAGCCAGCGCTTTCGTCTGTTTGGATATATATATATGTACCGAAGTCATTCAGTGTTCCATTTTTCAGACTTTTTGATGGCAAATCACACCTAATGGGGCAAATACTTTCATCCCTAAAATATGAATGACCGACTTTACTTCAGCTCTAAAAAAAAGTTTCATGCATTCCCAACAGCCAGTTTACATGTCACTTGACAGTTGATGCACCCACATCCTTTTGTTTCACACCCTGTCAAGATTCTGACATGAAATCCTGGTTTACCAGTTGGCATACAAATTGGCATTACACCATTTTGCAAATATACTTCGGTTATTTATTTTCTCTTTTTTTTTCTCATCCTAGGATTTTTTCTTCATCGGCACACCCAACCAAAATCCAATTTTAGAACACTGATTAGTCATTGCTTAGCACTGGGTGTGCATATTGATAGTAAGTTCTCATCTGTGGTCAGAGTTCAAGAGTTACGCTGTGGTGGAGATGGACGCCGTCCACCTGTTTGTGGACAGCGGTAAACTGACACCGGCCGTACGAGCCCACCTGGCTGTGGAGGGCTGCCAGCGCGGCGCCGACTGCGTCATGTGAGTGGGACACCTAGCAGAGAGGCCGAATATAATTGGTCATGTATGTAAAGGGCGCTGCCGTTTACTCAACCTTCGTCCTACAACCAGTCACGTTTTGTCTCGACTTGTGGTCTGCATTTATATAATATTTATATAATGGACTTCTCATTTAGGCTTAAGTGTGTGTTCGACGAGTGAAGTGTGTGTGTGCGTGGTGGGAAGGAGGGGTGGGGGGGGGGGGGGGCGGTAGCGTGCTGGCTTTTCCACGAAAACGGTGTGGGCAAATAATTAGAGCCGTCTATAGGGAATACGTATAAGATTCAAGTGTTGCCCTATTAACGATGTATCACTTGCGTTTTCATCCGATCTCTGCAGGCCACGGCGCTACGAGGAGATGACCAGTTTCGTGGCCGAGCTGAGCAGGCGGCCCGGAATGGTATGGATTCCCTCCAGCTGGAGCTACGCCGGCGGAGCCAGCTACGCCCTGTACGAACAGGTAAGAGCAAATCCATATACGCTCGTTACGAGCAGGTGAGACAACTCCAGTTACGCTTTGCGTAAGCGGGTGAGAGTAACCAGCTACTCTCTTTATGGATCGGTGAGAGGAGCTTCAAAGTCCGTAAGCCAATTCAGCTCTTTAGCCTCTTAAAAACCGGCTTTAAAAAATCCAGCTACATTATTTACAAACGGATAGGCGATGAATGGATCACACAAAGTGTCTCGGATGGAAAACATCTAAATCACTAATGAGCCATTTTGTCCCGATCAGACTGCGATGTTTGTTAAATGACCTAATATCGTGCTGGGATGACCTCAGCGACGTATGATCTCACACCGGTGCAGTGTTTCTCACCGCCGTCCTATCTCTCCCGTGCAGGTGGACCCGCCGAAGCGACTGTTCCAGCCGTCCCCGATCATCCGACTGAAGGGCATGAAGAACAGTGTGGAGATCGCCTCGATGAAACAGGCCCATCTGCGCGACAGCACCGCCCTCTGCAGCTTCCTGGCGATGCTGGAGAAGTCGGTGGGTCCACATCTGCCCTTATGGTATATTCTCCGTCTCGCCTCTATCCATGTTTCCTATCCAACGACTTCCGTTATTTACTATGCAGTCTTATCACTATCTCATCGGCTATTTTCCGTTTGCCATCCTCTCGATTATCAACTCTTTCTCATCCGCAGTCTATCTATCGCTTTATACGTGTACCGTTTATTTACCATCTAACTGTACTGATTCTCTGTCAGGTGGAGGCAGGCGAGCCCTGGACGGAGCTTTCCGTGGAAAAACGTCTCGACGAGTACAGGGGTAGACAGGACAAGTACCGCGGCAGGAGCTTCAACCCGATCGTCGGCTTCGGGCCGAACGGGGCCGTCATCCACTACAAGGCGTCGGAGGCGACCAGCGCTCGGATTAACACATCCAGTCTGCTGCTGATCGACTCCGGGGGTGAGTTGGAGGGGAGTGCAGACACTCCCGACTCTGTTTTGATGGGCTCAGAGGCGAGTGTGTGAGGGATGGGAGGGGAGTGATTGATCTGGCTCGGAACCTATACCACCTTATCGGTGGCAATTCGGTTCCTGGCACGTGACTGTGCGAATGGTAAAAATTTGGTGACTACACACATGTTTATTGTAATAATGTGCTCCCCCTCACTGTCGTGGCAAACGATAATTGGAGCCCCCCCCCCCCCTCCTCAGGTCAGTCCTGTGATTAATCCCCCTCCCCTCGCGCCAGGCCAGTACCTGGACGGCTCCACCGACGTGACCCGCACCATGCACTACGGAGAGCCGACCGACTTTATGCGCGAGACGTACACACGAGTCCTGATGGGCGTCATTGACCTCGGAAAGGTGGTCTTCAAGAAAGGCGCCACCGATAGCAGGGTCAGTTACTGATAAATTTCTAATTTTCTGTTTTTAATACCATCTGCTATTTCTTTGAAGCTATTGTAAGTTTGATTTTTAGCGATATGAAAACGCGTCTTTGCTCTGTAAAAAATTGTTCTCCATTATGCTAATTGGCGTGTATGTGTTATTCAACTTTGTTGCACGGGGTAAGCGATATTTTCTGTTTTCATAAGCCATGTAAATGCAAATAATTGTGTTCTTCAACATGCCAACTGGACTATTCAGCGAATTTTTACCACCGCGCGATCGCACCACAGTCCTACCGCTCTGCATAAATTCTGCTGTAGTTATTCATTCGCACGACATCCATACAACATAAAACCATATCACTATGCAGAGAAAAGGTTCGGATCTATTATAAAGCTGGCTATACAGGGGCAACGCGAAACTAAATAGATGGAAACACTTGGCTGTGAAGTGTGAATGATACGCGGAAAGTGATACATATGTGATTAATGGTAATGTACATTGTGCAATGCCTGCGAAGGTGCAAATAGCGTAACTTTGTATGGTGTCGGTGCCTCTTTGGGTGCTGTCAGCTTCATTGATCATGTGACCTTCAAAGAATACTTTCAGTTCTACTGGTTGAATATGCTGAGAGTTGCATTTATTTTTACGACGCAGCTGTGCATTCCATATTTTAAAAGCACCCGTGCATCAAAAGGAGCAGTGAACACCGAATATCAAGTTTCAAGGTGTTATCAACACCTAATTCTTCAGATTTTCCTCAGGTTTTCTGTGCAACATCATCGCTTTCACTTTTCATTCCTTCATTTGCTTCTGTTCTGGTTTATTATCAGCGAATAAGTATTTGTCGTTGTAATGATGCGGAGAGATGTTATTTTCTTAAGTGGCTGTTGGCCTATTCTGATCCAAATGATTCCATGCTTTAGTCGATAACCAATTAATTTTACTTACTTGCGTAAGCCGCGGAACACTGTAGTTTCGAGCATATAAACGAAGAAGAAAAAATGTCAATGGAAACCGATTCGAGTCGATCGCGCGCTGGCTCACTTTGCGACTATTTAGTGTGCTTGTCACAGGTGTCTCATAGCAGCACTTGCGACGCCCTGTTTGCATAAGCAACTAAATCGATCGTTATTCGATCGATATTATGGCCAGGGGACCGGAAGTGGGATTCACATGTTTTCTAATGCAAGCTAAATTTGCAACAGTGGTGCAAATAGCATGCATGTGTTCGACAAATACCAGCTGTGAATGCAGCAACGTCTAAGATATTGTGATACATCTAAATTAAGTCGCTTATACAAGTACCGACGTTGATGTTAGCACTGGTGCAATACTAGGGACTGTTCGTTAGGTGCGGGTTGGTTGCAGTGCATGTAGTTATACAACGGTCTTGCCTTGATCTTCGCTGCACGTTTTTGTTTCCAGCTCGATATTCTGGCTCGTCGGCATCTGTATGAAGTTGGTCTGGACTATCTTCACGGCACAGGCCACGGGATCGGCGTGTTTCTGCAAATTCACGAAGGTCAGAACAAATAGGTTTGTTGGCTGCACTGTCGTAAGCTTGCTTTTAATTGTTACAGCAATTTGAACTAAAACGTATAAACCTGAATGATAGCTGGAAAGAATATGTGGGTTGATTCAGTGATCCCGAGATATTCCAGCAGATAGACGAACTGTGATTTACAAAGATTTTTCCTGTGTTGACAGCTCCCACACAGCTGCGCATTTACCAAAAGGAAGAACATCTGATGGAGGAGGGCATGTTCTTCTCAAATGGTAGGTGATCCCTGATTTTCCACCACATCAGCTGATATTGTAAGCGAATCCATGTGATATTTTGATTAACCCGGCCGGGCCCGGGGGGTAATCCCAACCACCGCAGCCCGGGGGGGGGGCGTTTTTCGCCCCCCCCCCTTGTCTAACTCCATAAATAAGGGAGCTACGCAAACAAAAGCGATACCAAACGAAAGGTCCTTACGAGACGATTCTAGGGCACCTAAAATTTTTGACCTCAGGTCAATTTTCAAGGTCAGAGGTCAAGGTCAAGGGCAAAAAACCGGCACATGTGTAGTGATCTCAAAGTAAGCCTTCTAGAGGACGGCAGGATGCATCAAACCGGCAAAATTGGGTGTCAAACGAAAGAAGTGAATCTGAGGATTCCGAAAATGTGCTCATAATCAAAGGTCAAGGTCAAGGTCACGCCCAAAATTGACCTCAAACTTTGCACTTTTTCGTACATCTTGCGTGCTAACTTCCAAAATGTTTTGAAATGTTTTGAGGCTTATCAGTTCCCTATTTGTGGTTCATCTTACGATACAAGGCTGCTCAAAGGTCAAGGTCACAGAAGAGTATCCTTGCTAGAGGCTATTTCACTGATTCAAGTTAGTAATAATAAATAAGACAATTTTGCCATCCGGAAGCTCTAAATGAAAGCTTAGAGGAAAATAGATGCCAGATTCGTGATCAGCGGGTACAAATTCATCATGAACGACCTTTCATGTGTCAAGGTCAACCAAAGGTCATTCGAGGTCACATGAGGTCAACATAAAATTTGACCTTTTCCAAACAAAATATATATCATTCGACGCGGCTTGACAAGGCGAATGCGATGGTACCACTGCCGTAGCTCTAGGACCATTTTTGTCGAAGTTATTTGCGAAAAACTAAAACCACATTTCGGGGTCGTTGACCTGACCTCTGACCTCAGGTCAACGAAACTATTTTTCTATTTTTCTCTAGGTCAAACGCTACACAACCGTTTTCGTAATTTGTCTTTATCTCTAAAACTCTATTTTTAGCAGCTATTTGAAGTTCGCGTCTGTGACGCCGAAGTTTGCCGTGCAGGGGTTTAGAAAAATCGACCTTGTGACGTCATCAAGGGGGCTAGGTCCAAATTTTTTACTACAGAAGATGTCAAATGGATGGGAGAAAAGGTACTGAAAGTTTCGCCTTCCTATCCCTAATCGTTCGGGAGCTATCGCAAATATTCGCCAGGGGGGCGAAAAACGCCCCCCCCCCGGGCCCGCGAGGGTTAAACATGGATGCTGCTCAAATGGCGATTAGCTTACTTCACGCTACGCTTCAAAGTTTTGCCGTATTCTGGTCTATATTCCGTTCGTCGATTTTTTTGTCCGTCCGTCCGTCTGTCCGACCGACCGTCCGTCCGTCCGTCGGTCCGTCCGTCCGTCGGTCCGTCCGTCCATCAATCTGTCCGTCTGTCCGTCCGTCGGTCACCGGATCTCACTAACCCGTCTCTGTACGGTTCCACAGAGCCCGGCTACTACGAGTCAGGTCAGTTCGGCATCCGCCTGGAGACGATTATGTTTGCGAAGCCGGCGAGTGACCTACCGTACAACTTCAGCGGGCCGTACCTGACCTTCGAGCCGGTCACGCTGGTACCGTTCGAGCCGAAACTTATCAAGACTGAGCTCCTCACTCACGATCAGGTACTGGAACATGGATACCTATGGATAATAACCTGACGTGAAGTGTCAAGTACTGATCTAGCTGTCAAGTATCAACGACCTTTTTCTTAACTATGTGGCCATCTGCCAGTTGACTTCACTTTACTATTTGTGTAGCACTTCATTTTTAGCAGTCTTCACTCACCAGCCTGGATGTCAGTCAATTCATCCACTCTTGTCACTTGCAACCGCTCTGTAGTTATCTCCATGGCATTACCATCTGCCACATTGGCGTCAACTTGCCACCATTGGTCACCGAAGTTCAGACACCAGCCTTCTCTTCTTCCTTATTTTCAGTTCGTATCTCACGTGATCTCAGTATTCGCTCCCTGCATCGGCTTGCTCTATGGTGACCCGCTGTTGTTCTGTCTTCAGCTGGCATGGCTGAACGCGTACCACGCCCGCGTGCGCCGGGACGTGGGCGCCATGGTCACCTCCCAGGGGGGACCCGAGGCGCAGCAGACACTTCAGTGGCTGGAGCAGAAAACCCAGCCCATCGTCAACGCTATGACGAAGGTGAGATACGTTTGGGGAGAGAGAGAGGGAGGGAGAGGGGAAGGAGGGAGAGAGACAGGGAGGGAGAGAAAGAGAGAACAATGACCAATGACCCTCCCTGACCCGAGGAGACCAGAACATCGCACCTAACATTTTGGACGTAGCAGAGGTTCCTCAAAATCCGGGTATTTATCTTTTTTACAAGCCTTTGGTGATGGACAGACGACTAGGATCTTGTGGCAGTCATTTGTCACCATAGCTTAGACAGATAAGTTAAGTACATCGTGATAGCGATGTTATTGACACGATTTTTGTTGACTTGACTGTTCTGCCTCGAGAAACCGTCAGTCTAAATATTATATCGGTGTTTGTGACGCTTTGTTGTTTATCGTCAGGACGTCTTGCCCCGGATGATCATCAGTACGTTAGTTATATCCGATGCTTATGAGTTGTGAGACCATATTTGTCTGTTGTCAGGACTGCCCCGCCCCGGGCGCGGCCGGCAGCCCTCTCCAGGGAGCCGTGGTCGTCACTCCAGCAGTCCTGGCTCTGTTGACCGCTGTGACGGCCGCTGCCGCATGGAGACTCGCCTGAACACGTCCTGAGGCAGCCTGAACGCGTCCTGAGACGTCCTGAGCCGGACTTTGTCTTTTTGTCGATTTTTATGCCCGTACTCGACAAGCACGCGCCGATGCGGTCGGTTCGGGTCCGTAACCCGACTGCCCCTCCCATCTCGGCTGCTACACGAGACCTGATGTGTCGCCGCCGCGCCGCCCTGCGCGCGGGTGGACGGAGCGCGCCCGAGTACCGCCAGCTTAACCGTGCCGTGCGAGCTGCCATCCGCCGTGATACCCGACAGAGTATCGAGGAGGGTATCAGGGAGCGCGGGCCGCGGGCCGCCTGGCGGAGCGTGCGGGGGGTTGTGGCTGGCAAGCGCTCTGGCACACCGGTGCTACCTCAGCTACCCAGCGAGGAGCTGAACCACTTCTTCGTCTCTGTCGGACCGCGAGTGGCCGCCGAGGTGGCGGACCGGGACCAGGGTGCTGCTCGATCCGTCGCGTGCCGTTTACCGCGTGTGGGGGCGTGTGGTTTTACTGTATCACCTATCGATATTGACACTTTGACCAGCACGCTGCTCAGCATGCGCAACTCGACCGCCCGCGGTGCTGATGATATCTGTATCAGGGTGCTGAAGGCCAGTTTCCCCGCTGTCGGCGCCGTACTCCTTCACATCATCAACTCCTGCCTGACCCAGTCTGACTATCCTGCTTCCTGGAAACACTCCCTTATCCACCCTATCCACAAGTCCGGTGACCCTTCCGACCCATCCAATTTCCGACCAATCTCAATCATTCCAGTCATCTCAAAGGTGGTTGAAAAGGTGGTTCAGCACCAACTTTACCACTACCTATCCTCAAACCACCTCCTCTCTCCCAACCAGCACGGTTTCCGTCCACACCATTCGACGGAAACCGCGCTGGTGACAGTCACCGACGACATCCTTAGTGCCGCCGACAGCGGGGAGATCTCTCTTCTGTGCCTAATAGATTTAAGCAAGTGTTTCGATGTCATCGACCATGATATACTACTCAGCAAACTGCACTTGTACGGCATCGACACTGCATGGTTTGCGGCCTACCTGAGCGGTCACACTCAGAGCGTGACTCTGCGTGACTGCGCCGGCGCCCAGCGTGTCTCGCCCCCGCTCCCCAACTCTATGGGCGTGTTCCAGGGCTCTGCCCTGGGGCCATTGCTGTTTACGGTGTTCTCAAACGACCTGTCACTCCATGCAAACGATGCCAAGGTTCTGCAGTACGCTGACGACACCCAGGTGATGGTCTCAGGCAAAAAGAGCGAACTTTCGGCGCTCATCTCTCGAATGGAAAATTCTCTCGCATCTTTGGATAACTGGTTCTGCGCGAACGCCCTCAAGGTCAACGCGAACAAAACTCAACTCATTGCTCTTGGAAACCGTCAAAATTTGCGCAAACTACCAAATTTCACAGTCGCCTTCCGTGACACAAATCTCGTGCCTTGTAACGAGGTGAAAAATCTGGGTGTGACTTTCGACTCAAACATGTCCTGGGACTGTCACGTGGGTGCCGTCAGCCGCCGCTGCACTGGGACCCTCATCGGTCTCTCACAGGTACGACACGTCGTGCCCCGGGGCATATTCGTCTCTCTTGTGACAGCCCTGGTTCTCTCGCAGGTTCGCTATTGCATATCAGTTTATGGCAACGGCTCAAAAAAGAACACAGCTAGAATCCAAAAAATCCTTAACTTTGCAGCAAAAGTTATTTTCGGCCGGAGAAAATTTGACCATGCGAGTGACCTGCTGGAGAACCTGGGCTGGCTGGGGGCTCAGCAACTCGCTGAGTACAGTACGCTCTGCCTCACGCAGAAACTGCTCTCGAGTGGCGAGCCGGTCTCCCTCGCGGCCGTCCTCCGCTCGAACTCGGACGTACGTGAGCGCACGACCAGGCAGGACAGTCATCTCCATGTACCACGGTCAAGAACCGAGGCGGGGAAACGGCGTTTCTGTGCGAGAGCCCCGAGGCTTCACAACCAGCTGCCACCTGAGACCGTTTCCCTCAGAGGGAAACGCTTCCAACGAGCCCTGAAGCGACAGATGCGGAGCCGGACGCTGTCTTTAAACTGAAGTAAGGTCGTCTGACTCAGTGTGTGTGCGTGTGTGTGTGTGACTTGGTATGTTTCGGTTGGATGACTAATTGTTTTGTACACATCTGGTTACGAGCGAGCGAGCGCAGCGAGCGAAGCGAAGTCTTTTCAATATAACGGAAAAATCTCAGTATGAGCGGCCCGGCCCGGCCCGGCCCGGCCCGGCCCGGCCTGTAACGCTTTTGAGAGGCTTATATCTCAGCAACCGCTGGACCGAATGGCCTGCGGTCTTTTTTGCTGGGTAGCCCCATCCCTTCTACCCCGTAATTGACTACTTTTGATACATCTCAGTGACCACCGTGGCACGTGCCACGTGAAAAGTCAAGGGTGTTCAAGCAATTTTGCAAAAGTAATGATTTTGAGAGGCCCATATCTCAGCAGCGGCTTGAGCGATTGTCTTGCGGTCATTTTTATAGGGTAGCTGCATCCCTTCTACCAAAGGTCGGATACTCTTCATCTATGTGAGTGACCCCCACTGCACGTGCAAAATACAACAATAAGAGGTGCCAAATTTGTTCCCATTTCAGTAATTCGGTAATTACTGGGGCGATTTCGCTGAAACTTGGCATACAGGTAGGCACCCACCAGGCAATGCATTCCCATGTGTTGCGGTTAGGGTGCTACTGCACGTGCGCACGTGCAGGGGGCGCTCCCAGATCTCGAGAACGGCTGGGCCGATTGCGCTCAAATTTGGTACACGGTTGGGGACCGGTTAGTAGGGTGCCGTGCAAAAGTCATTTTGGACCCCGTTTGCACGTGCGCACGTGCAGAATGCCGCTTCCAGATCTCAGGAACGGCTGGGCCGATTGCGTTCAAATTTGGCACACCGCTAGCGACCGGTTAAAAGGGTGCTTTGCACAAGCCCGTTGGAAGTACCCTCTGGCCCTTCCGCACGTGCAGGGCTCACTATCTCGCTCGCTCGTTCTTCGCCCAAAAGGCGTTTTACTGGTATCTACCCTATTCTCTGACTCGGAGCTTGAAAAGCCACTGTTGCTGTGGAGTGCTCTTCAAAATAAATACAAATACAAATACAAGACTTTACCGTGGTCAGCGTCAGAATGGGTCCGGGAAGGGCCAAAACGGGTCCACAGACGCGGCCTCGTAATTCGAGGGTTGATTGGAATGTTTAGTTGGTGGGTCGTGTGTGCTTTGTGGCGCTCGAACCTGATTTCTGGTTTCTTTAGGGATCAGGATGCAAAGAGCCAGTTGTCCGTCCTGACCCATACTGGTGTCGATGATTCAGTTGGAGGCTAAGGTTTGACCCCACACGCTCTCCCACGCCGATTGTATATGTAGCCAGTGCCATGCGTTTTATATTACAAGTAACATGAGCGGTTTGATCGCTCAGTACCTCTGTGTTGTGTCGCAAGAAGGCTGTTCAGCTGTTTTAAATCGCCAATCTCATGCTGCTGTTGGAAGAAGAAAAGGACCAGTTGCTTGATAAAGCCTATCTGGTTGTGCAGATGTGGTTCTCGTTTTTATATGCCTATGCCTAAACAATACATTTTGCTGTTACACACACAACGTTTATGTGACAAAAGTTGCGCTGGGTACGGCAATGCTGAATGGAATGGAACAACACCAGTGGCTGCAGCAATGCTACGGTCAAACACCAATGCCCGAGACTGCAACACTGCATAACTTCAATAAAGTACCAACACTTCAGCCTACAACCCTGCAACAGTGTAACCCGAGAATAGAGACTACAACGCTACATGCAATATGACTGCATAAGACTGCAATAAGACAATAAGACTGCAGCGCTGGGTACAGTATTACACAGTCATTGAAGACTGCAACGGCTTCATGCATTATAACACCAACCCAGGAGACTGCAACGCTAGGTACGGTATAACACCAACACTGGGGACTGCAACGCTCGGCTTCATACAGTATAACACTTACATTTGAGACTTCAACACGGAATACAATGGAAGCTAGATGGGGAACGGATATCCCCAGGATCTTTCTGCCTTGTCGTTATTTAGATTATGGGCACTTCGGTCAATATTGACCATTTTCCACCCAACCCCGGGTTCTCTCCTCGTTCAGTTTTATATGAGCTTCCAATGTCTTGTATTGTATTGTATTGTATTGTATTGTATTGTATTGACAATGAAAACACTCCATATTTAAATGGCTATTCTGAGTGTCACGTCTGAGTTAGAAGGGGAAAACGAGTTAAAATGCACCCAAATCACAGCACTCAGTAAACATATCGAATCATTCACTCATCCCTAAAAACGTAAAAACACTCGGAAACAGAGCGTCTTCCACGGGCCGGGCTGGCGGCCGGGAGTTGCTGTCCTTTGTGGCTCGGCTGGATGGTTTCAGGTCACACAACTCCTGATGTGAACACTTTTTTACACTCATGTCTGACTATTCATTCATCCATATACAGCGTTACAGTCTCCAGCGTTGTTGTTACACTGAATGCGGCGTTGCAGTCCCCAGTCTTCGTGTTACACTGTATTCATCGTTGGAGTCTCCGTTGTAAGTATCGTTGCAGTCTCCATTGCTGGTGTTACACGGTACGCAGCGTTGCAGTCTCTATATAGTGTTGGAGTTGGTAGCGCCGCATACAGCTGCCCAGCCGCTCTATGCGGTCCTAAATTTTCCATTGTTGATAGATACTACAGCGTATGCAGCGTTGCAGTCTTCATTATTGGTATTGTATGTACTGTAACTAGCGTTGCAGTCTTCATTATTGGTATTGTATGTACTGTAACTAGCGTTGCAGTCTCCTAGCATTACGGTCCAGTGATGTTGTTATATTTCATAACTGTTTGTAGCGTTGCAGTCTCCAGTACTGGTATAATGTTGCATCAAGCGTTGCAGTCTCCAGTGTTGGTGTTATGTATGCAACGTTGTAGTCTCCCGTTTTGGTGTTACATTGTTTACGGTGTTGCAGTCTCCAGCACTCCCTTGTTGCTGCGGTTTCCGAATTTCCGATTTCCGATTCCGATTTCTGACCAATTTACAAAACTCAAACCACAACATTGCTAATGCAGGCACGGTATATTTTCTGTACAGCAAACATTCAGCATTCGTGGACACGCAATATTAAATAGCTGGCGAGTGCAGCGCCACGGCAGTTGCCGCAGCTGCCTCGCCACTGGTTCGTTGGTCCCCGTTCCACGGCGGTGGCATGCAGGCCCCGCAGGCGAGCCGGACCGCCCCTGGTGTGTGACCGGGGACATACCGACTCTGACCCTCCCTACCCAGTCCCAGCGCAGCCCACCCCGGCGACACCCCACATACACTGCCCGCAGGAGATCGCAATCACACACATACACTCACACATACATAAAAGACAAATCTATGGCAACACATGTGAGGATCGACAACGGCTACACAATTTATCATACAACTTACAGTGATGGCGAATGAGATATATGTCACACAGGTGCGAAATGCGTATAAAATCATCACAGCTCCTCACACCGTCCGACCCTGGGGTCGTGACGGCGTATTGTCTCACAGAGGCCCACCGCAGCAGCGGCCGGCCGGCTGGCGACGCCCACTCGCCGCCCGACGAAATCCACCAACTGGTCTCAAAGCACAACACAGAGAACAAGCCTAAACCGCACATCCGTCCGAGAATAAAACCAACCGAGCAGACAGCCGTCAACAATAAAATATACCTACATCGCTCTGGGTAAGCTCGTAAACCAATGTCCGAAACGATAAACGCAACAAAATGCGGCTCGCTCACGCGCGCGCGCCGGCATTGCACTAGTCTCGGGGGAAGAGGCCGGCCGGCCGGCCGTCGGGCGCCGCGCGCGTCACACTAGCACCTCGTGGAACTCTGGCGAGTCCTCTCTCAGCGTCCTGCTCAGCGCCGACTGCCGTAGCGCGGCGCCGCGCAAAATCTCCTTGTTGATCTCCTTGGAGGGGCCGGCGCCCCGCGGCGGCGCCAGATTGTTCACGTTCACCGGCTTGTAGAGAGCCGGTTTCTCTGGCCGCGGAGAGTCGAGCGGGAGCTCGCACGGCTCGAGCGAGTCGCGGCGCTTGGGCGGTGCGGCTGTGGCGCCGCCCGGCGGAGCGTCCAGCTCCTTGAGTTTATATCCGTCCCGGCAGGCGTCACTAGTGCAGCCGGCGCGGCACGTCTCACTGTCGGGCGAGTCCAGTCGGTTTCTGTATCGGCGCAGGTTCTTCTCGTTCTGCACGTTGTTGCAGTTCTCCTCCTTGGTCTGCTGCTCGTCGCGGAGCAGCCGCGCGCGGCGCCGCTGCTGCCAGGCCAGCAGCAGCAGGCAGACGGCCAGCACGCCGACAGCCAGCAGCGTGCAGACGACGGCCAGCAGCGGGCCGCCGCCGGCCGGCGCCGTCTGCTCGCTGGTCTCGGTGTGCACCTCGGTGACGGCGGCGGCCACCGGCAGCGAGCCGCGACCGGCGCGCAGCAGCTCGCCCAGCCGCTGAGCCGTCTCCGTCACCAGCGGACTGATGGCGGACACGCCCGGAGATCGCGGCGTCGACTGGGGAGAGACGAGAGAAACGGTCAGTGACGGAGAGGAATTCAGTCAGTTGAGGCACGATTATCTCGCCGGGCCAGCGATAAAGGTAAGTCTCATCACAGTCGATCTTTCACATGCTAAAACTGTTTGTGTGCAAGTCTTGTCACGACTTTTCAAATCCATTATTATAAAAGCTACAACTAATGCTAACCATTCTAGTTTCTAACTTTCAATACTCACCAGTGTGACGGCGATTGCTCCTCGCTCGCCCTCGGCCAGGTCGCACATGACGACCAGCGCCTCGCCCGTGAGCGAGTCGGGAGTCTGCTGGACGAGCAGACGGCGCAGCTGCGTGCACACTCCCTCGACCGTGGTGCCCGGCGCCAGTTGCGCAGACTCGAGCCGCACGGTCAGCCGCGCGCACGAGTTGCTGAGGAACGCCTGGTTGGGCCAGCAGCTGGTCGGCGCGGGACTGATGGGAGGGTTGACCGTCTTCCCGACGCCCAGTTTCCGGCACTCTCCGTGATGAGCGCACGGCGGCGAGAGGCAGTTGTCGCTGGGCGCCTGGACGCACACCTGAGGAGGGAGGGAGGACCGGTCAGGGTTGCACCCCACCGCGTCAGGCACGGAGCAGGAGGCACAGCCGGGCAGCTAGGCGCCGGGTCGCGAGTTTCCTAAGTGTGGAACTATTCATACCGTCGCCCGTTCGAGTGACGTCATCAGTTGGCGCTGGCGGCTAGGTGCATGGATTGGCGGGTCCTTAAGTTGGCGAAGAGGCGGAGCCAGTTATCCTGCGTAAATATTTAGCCAGTCTTAATTTTAGCGAGTTCCCTAGTTAGTGAAACAGCAACTTGTTCTACGACTCTACGTGAATGTATAACCGGTGTTATTTCAGTTGTCGTTCGTGCATTCGCCCACCTTGGAAGCATATCTCCTACGAGGTGCTTGAGTTTTGACGGTGGGGTTTGTGCACTGCGTTTCGCTTCAGCATTGAGTGAATGTCTTCAGTATTACGGCTGGTGATACTGCCTAGTGCCTGTCGGCGTTGAATGATGTTTGACACCAATAGGACACAGATTAGCAGGTAGTGCGGATTTATTATTAGCAGATTTATTAGCGAGATTATTAGCGGATTTATTATTTATTATTTTATTAGCAGGTAGTGCGGATCTATAGTGCGGATAGTGAGTGACGCCATCTGGACCGATGCTGGAGATGGTAGCGCCACCTGCCGCCACTTAACTGCTCGCTACTTGTAACAGTGCCTGGCTGGTGCTGTCGCCGCGCTGTGTGCTGATTGTTTGAAGCGTAGTACCTTATGACGCATAATATAAGGTCACTTTGCAAAATTTGAGGAACATGGACGAATTAATTTGTGATACATTGACGCCTTAGTAATACGTAATTGTTCCCAACGCAAGCTACGTATTAGATTTCAATGTATTGCTCAACTTCCCATAATAACACCAGGGGCGCTAGTGCCGCGCGCCGCTAGCCTATAATCGTGCAGCGATTGGTCGGCCGACTGTGAGCCATGACGTCACAGCCTGTAACGTCATCTTGGCGAAGCTTACGCCAATCAGAGACCTTAGGTATGGGCAGTTCCACACTTAGGAAACTCGCCGCCGGGTCGGACCATACAGCTCACGACGGAGCCATTATAAAACAGCGACCCGGGTCGTGATCCACAACAGGAGGCCCAACGAGTAATCTGACGCAAAATTAGAGCTCGCCGCAGGAAGGATGACCACCTGACGGCCGTCCGACGTTATGATAAAGTGGTCTTCTCCCGGGGAGGGCGCGCTCGCCCGGTGGGCGCAGACAACAATCGCAGGGGCGTCGGCCGACAGTCACCGACGACAGACAGGCGACATAATGCTCGCTCATGAATATTAACGGTGTCGCCTCTGCGTTCGGGGGCCATAATGTCACAGTGACAGCAGAGGACATTGCAACCGGAGATGGCCAAGGCAGAGCCGAGGAGTGGCCGGGTAGAGTAGATGTCTGTGGGTGGAGGACATGGCCTAGGAGTGGCAAGGGAGAGTGAGAAGAGGGGAGCAGCC